TTTCCACCTTGAAACTTGTTTTGGAAGGATTTTTGATGAGGTGGGTAGTACTGATCTTGAGGATTCTCCACATTTGGATTGCGGTAAGAGAGATTGTTGTAATTTGCATTCCGGAAGTTGTTGTTGAAGTTGTTGTTGGAGCGATTTTGGTATGGCACCAGTGCTCCTACGTAGTTCACATCTTCTTCTTGAAATGCTTGATTAATGTGATCGTTATCACTAGGTCCTTCATCTTCTGCGCCATTGTTGGTTTAACAGGCATGGATCGGGCGATTGTTGCTCTTCTGAAGCTGGCTCACCATGTTCTTCAACTCGGTTATCTCCTTGTTGTCTGTTCCGGTTTGCTTCATCGATCGATCGTATTCAAGACAGTCATTGCTATTGGCTTGAGCCAAATTTTCGATGAGAGCTCTTCCTTGGGTTATCGTCTTTTGCCCAAAATCTCCATTGCTAGCTGTATCAAATGAAAGTTTGTATTTTGGTTGCAAACCTCGGTAAAATGTGCTCAGCAAGCTTGATCCATGAAATCCATGGTGAGGGCAATCACGTTCATACTCCTTAAAACGTTCCCAAGCTTCATAGAAAGATGCCCTTGTTGAAAGGTTGAGATCTTCGTTCTCAAATTGTTCGACCTTGACTTAGTGTAGAAATGGTTTAGGAAATCAGTTCTACATTCTTCCCAATTGGTAATCGATCCTGCAGGCAAAGACTTCAACCAACGGTGAGCTTTATCTGCTAATGAAAAAGGGAACAACTTACACTTTAAATAGTCAGGTGGAACTTGGTTTGTTCTCATCATGCTGCAAATTTCTTCAAAAAGCTCGATATGGTCCATTGGGTGCTCAGAAGGAACTCCATGGAACTGGTTTTGCTTCACCAATGAGATGATTTGAGGCTTGACTTCAAACTCATTCCGGTTTGGAAATGGTACTTGAATTGCAGATCGATTCTGAAAATTTTGAGTAGGTGCATCAAAATCAGCTCTGCGATGGTTCCTGGCTTGTCTTCGGTGTTGATTTTCTGGCGGAATGGGGCGGTGAATGCGTTCATTCGGCTGCATTGCTGGGTGGTCACCATCGGCTGCATTGATGGGTGGACCAAGGTCTTCACGTCCTTCTCTCTCTCGGTTCTGGTGGTTTCTTGGAAGAACCTCATCCTCTTCTCCATCTTGTCGAGCATGATCACCTTCTATGTGATCATTCTCTTCCTTTTCTCCATGTTCGGACCCGTCTTGGTCCATATTTAAATTTCGATTAATAGGATCTCCAGGCTGGTCGTCATTGGTCATTCCTTGCGTTCGTCTAAGTCTTCGAAGTTCTCTTTCATGTCTTTCTATCTCGTCTAGAATTGGAATGTCTCCTGCAGGTCTACGCCTGGTAGTCATGCAATTCAGAGAAAAACAAAAGAAGGGAAAGATAGTTCAGAAAAAATTTAAGAAAGAACTAGAGATCAGGTGTCTAGAACAGAAGTTAAAACAAGAAAAATAGCAAAAGGCAGCAAAACAAATCCCCGGCAACGGCGCCAAAAACTTGATGGTCGTGTCAACTGCGTGAGTGAAGAAGTTTTACCCTTAACAAAACAAATGAAAGCCGCAAGTGCACAGCTGATCAGTTGCAGTATTTAGGGATCGAATCCACATAGAGTTGTGTGCCTGGTATTCTTCTACGGTTTTTTTAACTTTATGTCTAGACTAAATTGGTTTTAAAGGTTGGTTGTTTTTCTTGCGAATTAAACTAAAACAAAAGAAAGCAAATAAATCTATCCTAAAAATCAGGTAAGAAAATCGAATGAAATGCAATTAGAATAAGCAAATATCGAATGAAAGACTAATACGGCAAGTAAAATATCGCATGAAAGGTAAATAAAGCAAGTAAATAATGAACTAAGGAAATTGAAATGCAGGTCTAAGAAAGCAAGTAAAAATCGATGGAATTGTAAACTATGGCTAAAAACGCTGAACTTTTGGGAACTCTAAGGGATCATAATCGGTTTTAACACTAAGGTAGATAGATTGGGATTGACGGATAACGATATAGGGGTTCTAGAGCTAGAGTACGGCGGTATGACTACGTCACTGTCGTGATCATAACCAACTGTTTCTCGCAACCCTGACAAGTAGGTTTCCACTCTGGCCCTGGAAGGGAGAGAACGCAAGAGCTGCACAAGACTCGTCAATACTCACGATCTCGCCGCAGGTAGGTTTTCACTCCTACGGAAAAATCGCCTGTTTCTTTCTAGAGCTGATACTTAATGAAAACTTTCGCAACACTAACTATCTAGATCAGATACTAGGTGATCAATCAAGCATACATGCAATAAGAACAAGAATAAACACAGAACAGGTCGAAATCCCAGATCTCTAAACCTAGATGTCTTAATCGATTTTGAGAGCCCCTTTCGGGAACCCTAAGCCCAACTCGGGATCTACTCAGACATGGCTGAGTTCGACATCATCATTGGTTTTAATAAAAGTAATGAAAAACAGTAAAGAAAAGAGATAAAGAAAGCTTCTCTATTGAAGAACTCGGACTTGAACAATCTTCTACAAAAATCTCATAAAAACGACTAAATGAAAAGGATTTCTGTAAAGTATGAAGGGTTGTGTTTAAAAACGACCTAAATGACATGTATTTATAGTCTCCAATACTCCATGGTCTCTAGGGTTCCGGAATTGAGGCTGAGAATGACTTTGGGCTTCAGATAAGTGGGCTTTAACTCGGAGATTGATTGCCGCGGTCGGGAGTGTTGTGACCGCGGCGATTGGCTTGTTGGCCGCGGTCGGGAAGCTTCTGACCGCGGTCGCGTGAGTTTCTGACCGACTTCGAGTGGGTCTGGGGCTAATGGAATATCTTGAGATCCAACCGTTGGAATGTCTCCAAACTAAGTGCATTTGAAAGCTGGTTGATTCTTCTATAAGTTGTCCAATTTTGAGGGTGATCAGACGGTGAGAAGGTCTTCGTTTCTCCATGAGAGTTCTGACGGTCTGCATTTATCCAAACGAGTCTTTTTGTTCCATTTTGTGCCTCTTTATCCCAAATTACCTGAAAAATCTTTTAAAATCCGGAAACATAGAAATCCTTTGAAAACCTTTGAAAATGGAGTAAAAACACCTGTAAAAGATATTAAAATGATCCATAAAAATGGTCAAAATCCGGTGTTATCACATTGTCACCACCTCGGATCAGGGACGCGTCCGCCTCGGCGCCCCCTTCATCTCGGTCCAAAGCACGATTCATCACGACGCCTCGATTTATCTAGATCCAAGGGTTCTTCACCTTGGTTCGTGTGTTTAGATCTGAGAGATTGGCCTGAGAAAGCCGGTGGTGTAAAATCTTGTTGGCGGCACAGAGGAGAGTCGACGGAAGCAGCAAAAACCCTAGCCGAAAAGTAAAATAATTTAAAGAGAGAAAGAAGAGAGAAGGGAGAGCTGCCTTTATTAGAATTTGAGAAGCAGGAGTTATGAGAAGAATGAAGGCAGAAGGTCCCTTATATAGAAGCTCCAAGGCATGTGGGGACCACGTCGACCTCGGGAATCAGCAAAATATGAGTACGGCTCGTGGAATCCGGGCGATTTCACTAAAGGACGTACCTACTACTGACGTGGGTTCGACGCACGCGCTTCGGGTCATCGAAAATAAACAAAAAAAAAGAAAAAAGAAAAAAAAGAAGCATGTTCAATACGACCGAGCCCGTTCAGACTTGATAAAGGATCTCGAACCGTTTCACTGTCTTCATCACAACGACGCCTTGCCGTTTTCTCAAAAGCATGGCTCGGTACGAGCAGACAAAGTCACCGTGTCTTTAACATGGTTCGGCATCTTTTGAAAGTGCCTTGTCGGATCAGTGCCCGCTGATAACGCTTCACCCGCTCGACATCTTTTCGCAAAACGCCTCGTCGTTTATTCGGCTCGGCATAGCTTTTACAAGATGCCTCGTCGTTTATTCGGCTCGGCATAGCTTTTGCAAAATGTCTCGCCGTTATTAAGCTCGGCATAGCTTTCCAAATCGCCTCGCGTACAATCCTTTTCCTAGGGGTATCTCATCAAGCAGAGCAGACCGTGCCACGCCCTGTCGTTAACAAAACGGCTCGGCATTATCTCCTATCTCGACACGCCTCGTCACAAAACATAGCTCGGCATTATGTAGATACCACGTCGTTAAAAACAGTTCGCCGCTATTTTTGTCTAAGTAATCTCGTCTTCTGAATGGCTCGGAATTTTCCTTCGAATAGTCTCACCAAAGACGACTCGCTAGTATGCGTCATCAAAGAACGGCTCGTCATTTTTATACCCAAAACGCCTCAGCTGGAATTGTTCCACAACAGCTTAACTCGATGGTTTATCCCATGACTAGGAGCAATGAACCTCGTCACTTTTGTCTCCAAAATTGACGAGCTGGAGGGCTAACTGTTGGGGTCAGTTTCACCCTAATCAGATAATCCCATCTTGGAAATGACCAAGTATCGAAGAAAACCGATTTGGCAAGCCAGACACGAACCAAGCCGACCCACAAAACAAGTGGGCCGAACCATGTTCATCAAGGCGAGTGGGCCGAGCCGCGGACAAAGACAGACGGGCCGAGCCGTGAGGAGAACGAAGAATAGGCCTAGCTGCGCAAGAGGAAGAACGGGCCGAGCCGCTTTCTTTTGTCTTAGGCCGAGCCAGTTTTTCCAGATGGGCTGATTTGAAGTCCTGAAGGGCAAAAGCCCAAAACCCTAGGAAAGGCATTATGACGGTGGCCGCGCGAAGCGATAAGGAGATATTCCGAAAATCTCTCCCGAGATTCTCGGCTAGGCGGTTTAGAGAATTAGTATAAATAGCTGATGTATGCGATTCATTATGTAACTTTTCACAACTCGAGAGCAATAAGACTTAAACACTTTTCCAATGAAAAACCTTCTTTCGATCTTACTGTTCTTGCGATAAACCCTAGAAATTTCGGATCCCTTAAGTTTTACTTAACAAAATTTTGGTTGTGCGAGTTTTGGCTCACACACGAACCTCTTCAGCTTCTTTCTTTGGTAAACTAGCATCATCTGAACTCACACCAGGGTGTTGTTGTGCATCTTCATCAGGATCTTTGGGAGATTTCTAAGAAAACCTCACAATTGGCTCAATGTTGGGCATTTGTCCCATTCTTGCATCAATCTCCCATGCCTTGAGCTCGTCAGCCTGTGCTCGATTTCCTGCAACTCTTCGTCTATCTTCTCTTTATACCAGGAGGCGAATTCTCCAACTTCTTTGATCTCCTGTTTCGATTCGACGATATCACTTGAGTTTTGTATGATGTCATACCCTTGCCTTGTCTGCTCTGGTGCGACTTGGTTGATCATCCCAGCTAGTGTTTGTGCGTCCTTGTGGGTTTGTTCTTCCAAAAGTCGAACATGATTGGCCAGATCATCGAATTTTCTGTTGAACTCTTCAGAGATTGAACCAATTCTCTTAAGCAGTGTGTTTTCGGTGAGAATCTGTTGATCAAGGAACTCGTTTCCTTCGAGATGTCCCAAAAGTCTGCTGATCCTCAAGTTGTCCTCTTGCTGATTAGGGTTCTGCGGTGGAGGATGATAGGCGTGTGGCTCGAAAAAGGTCAGAGGAGGACCATAAGGATCTTTCCGGCGTCGAGCAGGCTCTTTGCGCCGGTAGTATGGATGATTTGGATGGCTGTATTGATCCATGTAGCTAAGATCTTGGGCTTGATGTTCTTCTCTGCGTCTGGTGGCTTGAGGAGTGTTGTAAAAACCTCCCTCATAGTAGGGATTTTGATTTATAGGATCCATTGCTTCAGGAATGGAAACAAAAGAACCGAAAAATGGAAATATGCAGAACAAGGGGTTCTAGAGTCGATTTACCACCCTTTCTTAGGGTTTTGCAGAAAAAAAACGCGTGACTTCCCCGGCAACGGTGCCAAAAACTTGATGTGTCTGCTGAGTGAGGGTGTCAAGTTTTACCCAAAATGAAATCAATAGTCGCAAGTGCACAGCTGATCTATTGTAGTACTTAGGGATCGAATCCACAGGGAAGGGGGATCTTTCCTACAAAAGCCTTCGAAAGAAATATAAAGTAAGGAAGTCTAGAACCAGGCGATTTTTGTAAGAATTTTGGTGGTGTCTTTAAAACGTAAAAACTAATCTTAACTTGAAGATACAGGAATTAAAATTACCTAATAACTAAACTTCATGAAATCAACTAAAAACGAGAAAAACGGCTAAACCTAATTGCTTAAATGAAAATCGATTGAAAGAGTAAAAATATTAGACTAAAGCTTGAATGAAAATCAATGTAAATCTATAGAAAAGAAGGCGCTGGGTTTCAGGGAAGTTTTCTCTGGGGTATGAACGATTTGAAACATTGCTAGAGAGTAAATTTGATAAGTTCTTAGCTTAAACTTTTCGAACTAGAGTCACGGATGTATGAATATCCCACTGTCATGATCATAGACAACTATCTCTCTCAACCCTGACCAGTAGGTTTCCACTCTGGCCCTAGAAGAGAAAAGATGCATTATGTTTAAGACTCGTCAGCATTCACAAATCGCCCATAGGTAGGTTTCCACTCCTATGTTTTTTTTGCTCTCCTAAACTAGATCTGACACCGGATGAACACTTTCGTGTCACCAAGCATATGGATCAGATTATAGTTCATGACGCTACTCTCAAGCAGTAAAAATAAATTCAGAAGAAAAAGTTCCAAGATTCGGCTTCAATAGCTCATGGAATCCTCCTTGAGCATATGTATCCCCATCGAAAATCCCTTAGACCCAACAATAAAACTACTCAGACATGATGAACGAAATCAAAAACATAGTATTAAAAAGTAAAGCAATAATCGAAATTGAAAAAAGAAAGAACAAGGGTTCAAGAGACAAATCTCTCTCTCCCTAAAACCTAAAACTTAAAAAGTATTCTAAAACAATAAGAGCATACGAGGTCATACGAATTAGGGTTCCTAAAACATGTATTTATAGTGTTCAAGACATCTCTGGGCCTCACTTAAGGTTTCTACAAATGAGGGAATCATTTTGGGCTTCATAAATAGGCCTTCGAGTTCGGAGTTTGGGAATGGATGGTTGGCCACGGTTGGGTAGCCTCTGACCGTGGTGAAATTGCTGTTGGCCGCGGGTGGAAATGCTTGCCGGCTGGTTTACGGGACATCTTGCTGTTCACGTATCTTTTGATTGAACCGTTGGATTGCCAAGCTGTAAAGTGTGCTGGAAAGCTGATACTTCCACCTTTGAGATCTCCAATTTTGACCTGGATCAGATGGTGAGAAGGCCTTTAATCGGGGGTGAACTTCTGATGGTTTGACTCTGAGCTGAAAATCTGGTCTTCTATCCATTTTGTTAAGCTTTTCCTTAAGTTTCCTGAATAGAGTCTTGTAATATGATCCTCCCTGAATCGGCACTCTAAAGACTGGATCTAATAAGTTTGAACTTCCGAAATACACGAACTGAAAGGAAAAGGAATGGATCGAGGGGTCGCACAAAGGTTGCGGAAGACCTTTGATTTACCGGTTGGATTCTGAGGATATTACACACCTAAGAATTGGGTGTTTGAGAGATATGACATAATCATAAACTAAGATGTTCAAAGAACAAATGATCTTTACTTTAGAAAGGTTTTTAGATAAAAGAAAGATGGTTTCTCAAATGAGATTACAATAGAATATAAAGGAAAAGAAGAGAGTCTCGGCCATCAATATGCATGCTTAGGAAATACAAGTGTGAGCTGTCTAAGTTGAATTCAAATGTCTTCTCACGCTCCTCTTCTCTTGGCCGTCTCTCTTGGGCTAAACTTAGTGGACCTTATTGAAAGCGTGATCCAACCTTGCCTCATTAAAAACCCATCACTAGAAAACCCATTGGGACAAAACTAGTGGTCGGGAAAAAGAGTACAAGATTGGATCACAAGTCCACTAAGCTTCTAGGACTTGGATCACAACCAAAATATTTGTGTTGAACTCTTTTCCCTCTTGAGCCGAGTATTTTGCTCGCCTTAGAACTCCTCCTATAGCCTCCTTAAGCTTCTTGGTCCTTGATCTTGTCATGGGGCCATTCGGAATGACTAAAGCCTTCTCTTGTTCAGCTACAAGCTCCTCAGCTACAAGCTCTCCTTCCTCAGGTTCTAGCTCTATGTCTTCAGTGCTGTCCATGATCATATCATCCCCCCCTTCTTGAAAAGGATTTGACCTCAAATCTGGATCATCTGCCTAGAAAGGAGCTAAGTCAGCAATATTAAAACTCGGACTCACTTTGTACTTACCTTTGAGATCAATATGATACGCATTATCATTAATCTTTTTTGTGATTCGAAAAGGGCCATCAACTCTTGGCATGAGCTTAGATTTCCTTTCGGCTGGAAATCTTTCTTTTTTCAAGTACACCCACACGAGATCTCCTTCTTCAAAGACTAGCTTGCGACGACCTTTGTTGGCATGTTTAACATACTGCTTTGTCTTCTCCTCTATGTTAGCTCTAGCCTTCTCATGAATCTGCTTTATTAGTTCAGCCTTCTTTTTGCCATCTACACTTTCTCGTTCACTTAGAGGTAAGGGAGTTAGATCCAAGGGAGATAAAGGATTAAAACCATAGACAATTTGGAATGGAGAAAACTTAGAGGCAGAATGAACAGAATGATTATATGCAAATTCTACATGTGGCAAACAATCTTCCCAAGTTTTGAGATTCTTTTTAATCAAAGCTCGCAACAATGTAGATAGGATTCTATTAACTACTTCGGTTTGTCCATCAGTTTGAGGGTGACAAGTAGTTTAGAACAATAATTTAGTGCCTAACTTAGACCATAGGGTCTTCCAAAAGAAGCTTAAGAACTTGGTGTCTCTATCAGACACAATAGATCTAGGCATGCCATGCAATCTTACGATTTCTTTAAAGAACAAATGAGCTACATGCGAGGCATCCTCAGTTTTGTTGCATGCTATGAAGTGTGCCATTTTAGAAAACCTATCAACTACAACAAATATCGAGTCCTTTCCGGTCCTAGTTCTAGGTAATCCAAGCACAAAATCCATAGATATGTCATTCCAAGGATGCGAAGGTATAGGCAAATGGGTATACAAACCGTGAGGCTTAAGTGTGGTCTTAGCCTGTTTACATGTTGAGCACCTTGCACAGATCCTTTCCACGTCTCGCTTCATGTGTGGGCAATGAAAATGGTCTTGCATTACTTTCATGGTTTTAGCAACCCCAAAATGCCCCATGAGGCCACCTCCATGAGCTTCCCTGACTAATAAGTCTCGAATAGAGCAGTTAGGAATACACAGGTGATTATCAAAGAAAAGAAATCCTTCTTGTCTAAAGTATCGGCCACTAGCAAACTTTTCACAGGCTTGGTATATCTCTTTAAAATCAGTATCAGAATCATATATATGTTTTAGCTGCTCAAACCAATCAACTTAGCATCAAGAATAGAGAGTAGAGTATACCTGCGGACAATGCATCGGCTACAACATTGTCCTTACCTTGCTTATACTTGATGACATAAGGGAAGGTTTCGATGAACTCAACCCACCTGGCGTGTCTTTTGTTAAGCTTTTGCTGTCCCTTCAAATGTTTAAGAGACTCGTGATCGGTATGTATGACAAATTCCTTGGGCCACAAGTAGTGTTGCCATGTTTGAAGAGCCCGAACTAAAGCATATAGTTCCTTGTCATAAGTTGGATAGTTTAAAGTGGATCCCCCGAGTTTCTCACTAAAGAAGGCTATAGGCTTCTTATCCTGCATCAAAACTGCACCAATGCCTATACCAGAGGCGTCACACTCTATCTCAAATGTTTTAAGGAAATCAGGAAGAACAAGTAAAGGGGCATGGGTGAGCTTATCCTTTAGGACCGTAAAAGCTTCTTCTTGTGCTGATCCCCACTTGAATCCCACGTCTTTCTTGATGATCTCAGTGAGAGGTGCAGCTAAAATCTTTGACAAACCTCCTATAAAAACCGGCGAGACCATGAAAGCTCCTCACGTCTCCAATGCCCTTAGGGGTTGGCCATTAATTCTCGAGTTGCTTTAACCTTTTCCTAATCTACTTTGATGCCATCTGCACTCACCACAAATCCTAAAAACACAAGGTTATCTGTACAAAACGTGCACTTCTTCAAATTTGTGTAAAGCTTTTCTTTCCTAAGCACATCTAGCACAGATTTCAAATGATCAATATGCTCTTCCAAGTTTTTGCTATAAACTAGGATATCATCAAAATATACGACCACAAAAACTCCTATGAACGCTCTAAGCACATGGTTCATTAATCTCATGAATGTACTAGGTGCATTTGTTAACCCAAATGGCATAACAGGCCACTCATATAGTCCATGCTTAGTTTTAAATGCAGTTTTCCATTCATCCCCTTCTTTCATCCTAATTTGATGATAGCCACTTTTTAAGTCTATCTTAGAAAAGATACTAGAACCATGTAATTCATCTAGCATATCATCAAGCCTAGGAATGGAGTGTCGATACTTCACCGTTATATTGTTGATTGCCTTACAATCGACACACACGCACCAGCTTCCATCCATTTTGGGTACAAGTAGCACAGGCACGGCACAAGGGCTCATACTCTCTCGGATATGTCCCTTCTCCATTAGCTCATTCACCTGCCTTTGTAATTCCTTAGTCTCCACCGAATTGGTCCTATACGCAGGCCTACTAGGCAATGATGCACCAGGCACAAAGTCAATTTGGTGTTCTATGCCTCTTATGGGTGGTAACTCTTTCGGATTATCCTCATGAAACACATCTTGATATATCTGCAAAAGATCATTCATTTTACTTGGCAGAGCCGGTGCCAGGTTAGCAATATTTGCAAGTGCTTCTTTAAACACAAATAAAAGGATAGGTTGCTTGGAAATGAGAGCTTTCTTAACATCACCAGCCCGTAGAAAGAAGTTAGAGGATTTCTTATACTGCTTCTCTTTTTGCTTCATTTGGACCTGATCCTGATATACCTCTTGCGGTGTTAAAGGAATCAATGTAATTTTCCTGCCATGGAAAACAAAAGAATGCTTATTAGTAAAGCCATCATGTAAAACTGTTCTATCTGATTGCCAAGGTCTTCCGAGAAGAATATGTCCAGCCTCCATTGCTAGCACGTCGCCCAGAACCTCATCTTCATATTTCCCAATAGAAATAGGCACCAAGACTTGATTCTGAACCTTCATTTCCCCGGTTTCATTAAGCCATAACAACTTGTAGGGTCTCGGGTGCTTGGTCATCTTTAGTCCAAGTTTCTTGACCATTTCCTCACTAGCTACGTTTGTGCAGCTTCCTCCATCAATAATGAGACTACATACTTTGCCTTGGACCAGACAACGGGTATGGAACAAGTTTTCTCTTTGTTCTTGCTCTTCTTCTTTGCTTTGAATGTTTAATGTCCTCCGAGCTAAAAGTAACTCTCCACTAGCCGGTATTGCCTCATATTCCTCAGTAGATTCAGAATCGTCTAGCTTTTCTTCCTCTGACTCAATTTCTCCGCTGTCTAAGAGGACTATTAGCCTCTTGTTGGAGCACTCATTCGCGTAATGACCTCGACCGTGACACTTGAAACATCGGACGTCTCTAGAACGAGTTGTTGTAGCTTTTGTATTGCTTCTGATGTCTTGAATGACTACTGGTGGCTTGACATCTGATTTTGGATTCAGTACTGTCTTGTTATCTCTTTGGTAGCTCGGCTTTTCTTCCTTTGAATAGTTGGCCTTAGTAGGGATACTAATTTCATAATTAGTTTTAGCCAGATGCCTTCTCTTCAGCTGTTGCTCGATCAAGATTGCTTTGTGCAGCATCTCCTCTATTTCTTCATATTGTTGCATCTCTAGCCGATCTTCGATCTCTCGGTTCAGTCCTCCCAAGAATCTAGACATTGTAGCTTCACTATCTTCAGTAATCTCAGCACGTAGCATTAGAGTTTCCAGTTCTTGATAATTAATCTTCCACCGTACGACTGCCTTGGGTGAGTCTCCTGATTCGTTGGTGAAGCTCCCTGTGATAATGACTCGGCACAAACCTTTTTCTCAGCAAAGACTTCATTTCAGACCAAGATTCAACCGGATACTGCTGATTAGGTCTTCTAGAAGTCACAATTTGATCCCACCAACTTGGTGCATAGTCGTAAAACTCCGTTGCCGCCACCTTAACTCGGTTTATCTCAATATAGTGTTGACAATTGAAGACCAACTCAATCTTTTTTTCCCAGTCTAGGTACGCATCAGGATCATTCTTGCCGTGAAATGGAGGAAGCTTGAGGCCTCCTAAACCATCTGGAACCGTAGCCTTATCTTCTTTAGTTCGCCGATGCTTTCCTCTACTACCTCTAGACGAGCTGCTCTCTTGGCCATAGTATATATCGGCCTCCTCATCTCTGGTGCTCTTTGATAACACCATATTTTGACCACTTTTATGGATCGTTTTGAAATACTTTTTCTACGTTTTTAATTGCTTTTAAGTAATTTATCAAGTTTTTTCTAGTATTTGTAGTTCCAAGACTCTTTTCAGGAAACTTAGGGAAAAGCTTAACAAAATGGATAGAAAACCAGATTTCAGCTCAGAGTCAAACCATCAGAAGTTCACCCCTGATTGAAGGCCTTCTCACCGTCTGATCCAGCTCAAATTTGGAGACCTTAAAGATGGAAGTATCAGCTTTCCAGTGCACTTTACAGCTTGGCAATCCAACGGTTCAATCAAAAGATACGCGAAGAGCAAGATGTCCCGTAAACCAGCCGGCAAGCACTTCCACCCGCGGCCAACAAGCAATTCCCGCGGTCAGGAGCATCCCGACCGCGGCAAACCACTCATTCCCCGCGGTCACACTTGTCCCGACCGCGGCCATCAACCTCCGAGCCCAAAAAGCCCATTTCTGAAGCCCACATTTGGAGAAACCCTAAGTGACGTCCAAAGAGGTCTTGAGCACAATAAATACATGTCTTAGGAGCCCTAGAGATATCGTGTAACCGAATATCACATATCATTACTTCATATTTTCATTGTTTTTGCTTTAGCTTTTAGGGAGAGAGAGATTTGTTCTCTTGAACCCTTGTTCTTTCTTTTTCAATTTCGGTTTCTATTCTACTTCTTAATACTATGTCTTTGATTTCGTTCATTATATCTGAGTAGTTCTATTGTTGGGATTAAGGGATTTTCGATGGGGATTTATATGTTCGATGAGGATTCCATGAGCTTTTGAGCCGAATCTTAGAACTTTTTCTTCTGAATTCGTTTTTACTGCATGCGAGTAGCGTCATGAACTACAATCTGATCCAGATGCTTGGTGACACGAAAGTGTTCATCAGGTATCAGATCTAGTTTGGGAGAGAAAAACAAACATAGGAGTGGAAACCTACCTATGGGAGATTTGTGAATTAGGACGAGTCTTAAACATAATGCATCTCTTCTCTTCCAGGGCCAGAGTGGAAACCTACTGGTCAGGGTTGAGAGAGATAGTTGTCTATGATCACGACAGTGGCGTATTCATACGTCCGTGACTGCAGTTCGAAAAGTTTAAGCTAAGATCTTATCAAATTTCCTCTCTAGCAATGTTTTGAATCGTTCGTACCCCTGAGAAAACTTCCCTGAACCCCAACGCCTTCTTCCTTATTGATTTACACCGATTTTCTTTAAAGCTTTAGTTCAATATTGTCTTTCCTTTTTAGTTCATTTTCATTTAAGCATTAGAATATCCGTTTTTACCATTTTTAGTCATTTTGATTAAGTTTAGTTATTACGTCATTTAATTCCTGTATTCTCTTTTAATATTTCGTTTTTACATTTTAAACACACTACCAAACCCCTACAAAACCGGTTTTGTTCTAGACTTCCTTACTTTAACTTATTTCAAAGGCTTTTTGCAGGAAAAGATCCTCCTTCCCTGTGGATTCGATCCCTATGTACTACAATTGATCAGCTGTGCACTTGCGGCTATTTATTTCAATTAGGGTCAAACTTGACACCCTCACGACAGCACACATCAAGTTTTTGGCGCCGTTGTCGGGGAAGGCACGCGTTTTCTTTTCTGCAAAACCCCGAGAAAGGTTAGTAAATCGACTCTAGAACCCCCTTCTCTGCAACTTTCCATTTTTCGGTTATTTTGTTTCCATTTCAGAAGCTATGGATCCTATAAATCGAAATATACACTATGATGAAGGTTTCTATAACACTCCTCAAGCCACCAGACGCAGAGAAGAACACCAAGCCCGAAATCTTAGCTACATGTATCGATACAGCCAGCCAAACCACCCTTACCACCGGCGCAGAGAGACTGTTCGACGCCGGGAAGATCCTTATGGCCCTCCTCCAACCTACTTCGAGCCACACGCCTATAATCCTCCACTTCAGAACCCTAGCCAGCAAGAGGATAACTTGAGGATCAGCAGACATTTGGGATGCCTCGAAGGGATGATAAACCAGTTCCTTGATCAGCAGATTCTCACCGAAAACACCCTGCTCAAGAAAATTGATTGAATCTCTGAAGATTTCAACAAAAAATTCGATGAGATGGCCAATCATGTTCGAGTTTTGGAAGAGCAAACCCACAAGGACTCACAAACACTAGCTGGGATGTTCCACCAAGTCGCAACAGAGCAGACAAGACAAGGGTATGACATCATACAAAACTCAAGTGATATTGTTGAATCAAAACAGGAGATTAATGAAGTCAGAGAATCTGCCTCCTGGTATAGAGAGAAGACAAACGAAGAGTTGCAAGAGATCGAGCACAGGCTGAACAGACTCGAGCTCAAAGCACGGGAGATTGATGCAAGAATGGAGCAGATGCCCAACATTGAGCAAATTGAGAGGTTTTCTAAGAAATCTCCCAAAGATCCTGATGAAGGTGCACATCAACGCCCTGGTATGAGTTCATATTAAGCTAGTCTACCCAATAAAGAAGCTGGAGAGGTTCATATCAAGTACAAGAAGGAAGAGACAGACTATGAGCAGATTTCATCCGGAGCCGCGGGTCCGAGTGTTCCGACCGCGGCCAAAGCCTTGTTTCCCGCGGTCGCGACCCCTCTGACCGCGGGAGTTGGTCGCTCAGATGCTCCTCCGGGTTTTGAGAGGAAAATAATACACCTTCTGTCCCAACTTCAGCCTCCAGCACCTAAAAAAGCAACTCAGGAAGAAGAAAACCAAGTTTCAGATGAAGAACCAGATTGGCAGGAATCGTTACCTTGTATGATGGCAAAGGAATGTGTTAAAGATTCAGCTGACTCTTCAATCCAAGAAGACCAGACGTGCAGCAAGATAAAGATGCCATACATTGATTCAATCATTGAATATGACGCTGCGGCTTTCTTTTGTGAATCCTATTCTGCGTTCGAGACACCAGCCAACACCTACAGAGAAAGGCAAGTCCGAATTCTCCATCAGGTCAAGACTGCAGGTCAGTTTCTTATCTCTTGTTCTATTAGAGGAGAAATGTTTAAAAACGTGCTATGTGATTCTGGAGCTTGTCTTAACATGATGTCCAAGGCAATTGCTTTGAGACTTGGTATTAGACACCTGCGCAGGACTAGAGCAAAGATTAGTCTAGCTGATGATTCAAATTCAACACCTCAAGGAATAGCTCATGAAATTCCTTTGAGAATAGGAGATTGCATAGTGCCTGTCGACTTCTACATTGTCGAAACAAGAGATGCAACATATCCAGTGATTCTGGGATGGTCTTTTCTAGCAACTTCCGGAGCTATAATGGACTGGCCAAACCGGAGGATTTCATTTGCTAATATCGACAAAGATATCTTCACAGAAGCTGTTCCATACAACAGGAATGCAGGAAAACGTTCTGCAACAGAAGAATTTGAAGAAGAACTTTGGAGTGACGAAGAACCTGCTAGGCAAAGCAAGGAGATGTCGAAAAAGACTTGTCTCAGGACAAGGTCTTCTTCATTGGAATAAGTCACGTCCAACACCAAAAGTCGAGCTAAACGACTTAAAACAAAAGCGCTTAATGGGAGGCAACCCATTTAGGTATTGTTTTCTTTAGGATTTTTCTTTCTTTTTCTTTTGATCTTTTTCTTTTTCTTAGTTTCAGGTGTTTCTTATAAAACAAATAGCCAAAAAAATCAAAAAACCAGAAAAAACCAAAAAGAAGGTTGGTACCTGACTGCTCGGCCCCCAGCAGGAACCAAGGAGAAGCAGGAAGAGGCCGCGATATAAGCCTCCGCGGTCGCAGACGTTCTGACCGCGGGAAACACATGTTCGACTGCGGTCGCGTGATCCTGACCGCGGCCAAGCAATGGTTCGCGGCGGTCGTGCAGCCCCTGACCGCGGCACTTGGTCGTTGAGATCCAAACACGACCCCAAACCAATCCCCCTCCACCACCTTCATCACCACCTAATCACCTTCCCAAACCTTTTCGAATGAATCCGGTTCATCTCCACCAGCATCCCGGATCCAGGTAAGTTCTCTTTGTCCTTACCAATTCGATTATCTATGCATTTTTCTCATCCAATCTCGACTTGTTTCACACTGAGGACAGTGTGATTTAAATCTGGGGGAGGATTTCATCCCTTTCTAACCACCTTTCTTTCATGAGTCTTGCATTATCTACACTTTTTGCATTTTCTTTAAAGTTTTTCAAAATCGGTTTTCAAAACAAAATACGTTTTAAAGGGAATGGTGAACATGAATCAATGATAGTTGACTGTGTGCTTTAGACTGTTCCTAGTGACTTGCTCATTCATGATTTAGGACTAGACTAGGCGGTAGCTAAGCACATTTGAAACGAAATACCCCAGAGGAATTTGAATGATTTCGATTTAGATGAAGGGATACACTAGCTCTGTTTTATTTGGACTTAATTTGGACTTAATTTTCTCACTGAAGCATTAGACCAGGGAAACGAATCATACATTCAGGACTCCTTTATCCTTTTACCACTCTCTGTTGATCCTGAATGGCTAGTTC